AGGTTCCTTATGTAAAAGCTAGCTTGGTAACCAACCTTAAGGATAACTCAATTTGGAAGTCCAAGTCCTGCCCTCATGAACGTGGGATGTATCTTACACAGCTTAACTATCCCGACTAGATCCTAGTAGTATGTCCTTCTAGTGAGAGTGTGCAAAGAGTGTGACCCGCACCATATACTCTTAGATTACTCTACTTGTATTGCTAGCGACAATGCACAAGTGTGATATGTGCTATTTTACTAGTGCCACATGCATGATTTCATTTAGTTCATGTCCATTGCATAATGCATTATAATGTGACTATTATTATTTATTATGCTATAACTAAATGATTGTGGTTATAATGTTTGTATGTGTATACTATATCTTATATTCCTTGTTTGTGTTTGACTATTCAATTTAATTTCATTTCTACATCGTGAGCTAAAGTGAGATATTTTTCACTCCCTTTGCTTTGTGTCATTTTCCTTGATTATTATGTAGACAATCATCAACATGAGGTTGAAGATGTTAGTGATGAAACTTATACTTTAGTATTAAATTTTGTTCTGATAGGACATGTGATATCAGAGTGTAACTATGACTAGATTAGGATATTGTTTTGTTAAATTATTTAAAAAAATATTATTTTAAAAATGATATACTTTCTACTTAGACAAGTTGAGTTTATATATGAAGATCATATTGTTTAGTTTAATTTATTATTTATGTATTATGACATGTGGAATAGAAGGTGTTAAGTTTAACATATTAATTAATCACTTATATCTAACTTCTTAATTTGTAACACTATTAATCATTTCAAGTCAAACGTAATTATTAACCACATATTTGTATTCCTTTCTTTTTAAATTAATTTCATTTTAGTATATTTAAAAAAATTGATAAAATTACTGTTCACATTTTTAATATAATATTATTATTTTTTATATAATTTTTAAATTATTCAATTATCACAATTAAAAACAATACACGTATTAGAAGAGTTAATAATATTTTATTAAAATTATATAAAAAATGACACATTATTTTTCTTAATTAATTTGTATGTAAAATCATCGAAAATAATACGTAAATTACATTTATTTACTTTTAACTCGTATAAATTTCGGTTAATAATAAAAAAAGTATTAAAAATAAAATATTATAAAAAAGTATTAGTAACATTCTTCATTATGTATATAATTAACCACTTGTAATTATCATAAATTCATGAAATTATCAACCTTTTCTGCGGCCTGACTATCAGCTATAACTTTTGGCCCAGTGGTAAGCGCTCGATCCAACAATTGGTATCAGAGCCAAGGTCATGAGTTCGATACCCAGCGGGGCAATTGCTGAGGGGGAGATTGTTGCGGGTTGCATCAATTCTCCCGTGGCGAATCATGGCGCTTGGGCTGCTGCGCTCTTAAGTAAAAAGAGTTGCGCCCTGACTATCAGCTATAGCTTTTGGCCTAGTGGTAAGCGCTCGATCCAACAATTGGTATCAGAGCCAAGGTCATGAGTTCGATACCCAGCGGGGCAATTGCTGAGGGGGAGATTGTTGCGGGTTGCATCAATTGTCCCGTGGCGGAGGCTAGGTGGGCCAAGTCACTGTCGAATCATGGCGCTTGGGCTGCTGCGCTCTTAAGTAAAAAGAGTTGCGCCCTGACTATCAGCTATAGCTTTTGGCCTAGTGGTAAGCGCTCGATCCAACAATTGGTATCAGAGCCAAGGTCATGAGTTCGATACCCAGCGGGGCAATTGCTGAGGGGGAGATTGTTGCGGGTTGCATCAATTGTCCCGTGGCGGAGGCTAGGTGGGCCAAGTCACTGTCGAATCATGGCGCTTGGGCTGCTGCGCTCTTAAGTAAAAAGAGTTGCGCCCTGACTATCAGCTATAGCTTTTGGCCTAGTGGTAAGCGCTCGATCCAACAATTGGTATCAGAGCCAAGGTCATGAGTTCGATACCCAACGGGGCAATTGCTGAGGGGGAGATTGTTGCGGGTTGCATCAATTGTCCCGTGGCGGAGGCTAGGTGGGCCAAGTCACTGTCGAATCATGGCGCTTGGGCTGCTGCGCTCTTAAGTAAAAAGAGTTGCGCCCTGACTATCAGCTATAGCTTTTGGCCTAGTGGTAAGCGCTCGATCCAACAATTGGTATCAGAGCCAAGGTCATGAGTTCGATACCCAGCGGGGCAATTGCTGAGGGGGAGATTGTTGCGGGTTGCATCAATTGTCCCGTGGCGGAGGCTAGGTGGGCCAAGTCACTGTCGAATCATGGCGCTTGGGCTGTTGCGCTCTTAAGTAAAAAGAGTTGCGCCCTGACTATCAGCTATAGCTTTTGGCCTAGTGGTAAGCGCTCGATCCAACAATTGGTATCAGAGCCAAGGTCATGAGTTTGATACCCAGCGGGGCAATTGCTGAGGGGGAGATTGTTGCGGGTTGCATCAATTGTCCCGTGGCGGAGGCTAGGTGGGCCAAGTCACTGTCGAATCATGGCGCTTGGGCTGCTGCGCTCTTAAGTAAAAAGAGTTGCGCCCTGACTATCAGCTATAGCTTTTGGCCTAGTGGTAAGCGCTCGATCCAACAATTGGTATCAGAGCCAAGGTCATGAGTTCGATACCCAGCGGGGACATTGCTGAGGGGGAGACTGTTGCGGGTTGCATCAATTGTCCCGTGGCGGAGGCTAGGTGGGCCAAGTCACTGTCGAATCATGGCGCTTGGGCTGCTGCGCTCTTAAGTAAAAAGAGTTGCGCCCTGACTATCAGCTATAGCTTTTGGCCTAGTGGTAAGCGCTCGATCCAACAATTGGTATCAGAGCCAAGGTCATGAGTTCGATACCCAGCGGGGCAATTGCTGAGGGGGAGATTGTTGCGGGTTGCATCAATTGTCTCGTGGCGGAGGCTAGGTGGGCCAAGTCACTGTCGAATCATGGTGCTTGGGCTGCTGCGCTCTTAAGTAAAAAGAGTTGCGCCCTGACTATCAGCTATAGCTTTTGGCCTAGTGGTAAGCGCTCGATCCAACAATTGGTATCAGAGCCAAGGTCATGAGTTCGATACCCAGCGGGGCAATTGCTGAGGGGGAGATTGTTGCGGGTTGCATCAATTCTCCCGTGGCGAATCATGGCGCTTGGGCTGCTGCGCTCTTAAGTAAAAAGAGTTGCGCACTATTTAATCATATATAACTATAACGATTAATGACTTATAAAATAAAACTAATCGTATTTATATACACAACTAACACATCGGCCAAGTAGGCGTGGGGTGTGCAAATATCGTATGTACATTAACATTACCTTTATTTATTTATTTATTTTTAAATTCTTGAAAAAATGTACATTCAATTCTCTATTTGATTGCAGCCGACAAAGGAGTAGTTATAAGACAGTATATAGGATTATAGTTTGTGTGAGGAAAACATAAAAATAATATTATAAATTATTTAATTTAAATTGGTAAAAATAAAAATTAATAAAAATTATAATTTTAATTAAATAAATACATTATTTATTTCAATAAACAACGTATTTATTTTAATAAAATAACTTTTTAGATGTTTTAGTCAAACAAACAATAATATGAAAAATAAAAGTGTAAAAATAAAATAATTTTAGTACTTTTTTACTCATTGTTATGATAAAATTGACAAACGTATGTTTTACATTTATAAATTTCTCATTTAACGCATCTCTTATTAAATAAATTATTAAAATTATTTCAGCCCACACACACATATATATATATATATATATATATATATATATATATATATATATATATAATTTTTTTCTTTCCTTCCTATTTCATCCGTGTTTCTATCATAACAAAGGTGTTTACGAAGTTTTAACAATTTTCAAAACCTTCTAAGCGTACCGCAATTTATTCATGAGAATGTCGTCAACACATTTTTTAATTTGAATTCGTATCTTACGTAACATTATTTTTTATGACAGAAATTTTTTAATAAATTTGAATTGAGGAAGATTCTTAACAATATAATGATATTTTTTAATACACACTCTTTTGATTTTATGTCAAGAAAAGTACTACAATTGAAATGTCATATATTAAAGTAGGAATATTTTGGAGAATATATCATTAAATGATGAGTTAAATTTGCTTATATTTAAGAACAAAAAATATATGTTTTTTCTTCTTCTTATAATAGAGAACAAAAGGAGTATGTATGTAACCAATTAACTATAGAGTAAAACTTAAGATAATGAACTTTGATATGTGATATAGTTTTAGTAATAACTAACTTAGAATATCATCTCTTATCAAAGAAAAAAAAAACCTAAGATATCTTCAACCTTAATGAACTTGTAAATAAAAATCTTAAAGTATAAGTAGTAGTACAATTTATATTAATTTTAGTTATCATTTTATAAAGTTTATAAAAAATTTAACATTATTAAAATGTTGCAGAATATCACTTTAATTTAGTAAAATCTTTAAAAATGTTGTCATTAATATATAAAATGTTACTTAAAGTCTTTTAACATATGCTTTAATATCTTATATTTGATAAAATATGGCAAAAATATATTAGTAACATTTACTTATAATTTAGTAGCATTTTTAAATATTACTGAAATTACATTTTGTTGTAGTGATTTCACATTTTAAAAAATATGAGAATTAAATATCTATATTTTAATATAAAATTAATTACATATTCACAAAAGTAAATGGACTAAAAGTTATAATTAATTTTTTCTTCTTCTTATTTTTACCTCATAAGAATGTTTTCGAAGAAAAGTTTATTCTTTGATACCCGTATAAAAATGTTACACAAATGAATATGTTTGGATGTTAATCTAAAAAGACTTTTAAAACTTGTCTATTAACAAATCTTTGGGACCATATCCAAAAATACTTGATTAATGTATTTGTAATGTTTGCTGTGCTAGCCTGTTAAAAGAAGCACCTATGGTGAGCACTCCTTTTGGAAAATATATATGAGTGATATGAGTTTGAGGTAATGGAACATTGGGTCAATTTATTCTTGGAACGTTTAGGTGACGACATTCATCTATAAATACCCACTTCCTAGAGGACACAAGGCACAAACGAAAGAAGACTTAAGAGTAGTGTGTTGTTAGCAATAGCAAAGATGTTTGGGATCTTCAACAGGGGTCATAAGATAAAGGGAACTGTGGTGTTGATGAGCAAGAATGTGTTGGACTACAATGAAATAGCCTCCACCACTAGAGGCGGTCTCATGGGCGTCGCCGGAGGAGTCTTTGGCCTGGCCACCGACATAGCCGGTGGAATAGTTGATGCTTCCACTGCCATCTTCAGCCGTAACATTTCCCTAC